GGTTAGTTGCTAATATAGCTCTCATTTTGCCTCTTCCCCAGATCGGGAGAACCAGTCCATCCTGATCACGTACGTACACCCCCTGCTCGGGTCCCTGAGGGGCTGCCCAGGGCCAGGGCTCCTCCTGCCTGACCACACGCTCTCTGCTTCTCTCCTTGCTCTGACAGCGGAGAATCCGGTGCCGGGAAGACTGTGAACACAAAGCGTGTCATCCAGTACTTTGCAACAATTGCAGCCAGCGGGGAGAAGAAAAAGGAGGAGCAGACATCAGGCAAAATGCAGGTGAGTCAGGAAGAACAGACTGGACACTTGGGCCGTCATTGCCCTGTCAACTCAACACAGTCCATGAATAATTTTCCCCCTGCAGGGAACACTTGAGGATCAAATCATCAGTGCCAACCCACTGCTGGAGGCCTTTGGAAATGCCAAGACCGTGAGGAACGACAACTCCTCGCGCTTTGTGAGTTGGTGACTTGGACAAAATCTCTCCCTCTCATGGCAGGACAAGTGATGCCTGAGCAGGTCTCCATGTAAAGGAGATGTCAGAGGAAAACATCCAGATTCAAATGTTGTTGCTTCTCCCTAACAGGGCAAATTCATCAGAATCCACTTTGGGGCCACAGGCAAACTGGCTTCTGCTGACATTGAAACTTGTAAGAGATTCTCCTGGACTGCTCCCATCCCTTCCCAAATTCCCACCTCCATGTGCATTGCTGTGCCTAACTCTTTCTACCTTCCTGGGCAGATCTGCTGGAGAAGTCCAGAGTCACTTTCCAGCTCAAGGCGGAAAGAAGCTACCACATCTTTTATCAGATCATGTCCAACAAGAAGCCAGAGCTAATTGGTAGGAGACATCACCAAGCTTTTTGAAGGAAGATCTCTGAGCAAGATTCAACTACATTACAAAAAGTATTAAATTTAACCCACCTACACATTTGTTTTCAGAAATGCTCCTCATCACCACCAACCCTTATGATTTCCCTTTTGTGAGTCAAGGCGAGATCAGTGTTCCCAGTATTGATGACAAGGAGGAGTTGATGGCAACAGATGTGAGTAATGTACAAAACAGGTCAACAGGCATAGGTCATACATCACATAACACACAAATATTTCACTTTGCTGATTGTATTATCAGAGTGCCATTGACATCCTGGGCTTCACTGCTGATGAGAGAACAGCCATCTACAAGCTGACAGGGGCTGTCATGCACTATGGGAACCTGAAGTTCAAGCAGAAACCAAGAGAGGAACAGGCAGAGCCTGAAGGCACAGAAGGTATTATTGAGCTCAATAATTAACCCTTCTGTAACCCACTGTGGAAGACAGCAAAAGTTGTTTATTGTTGGACTTTAGGATCCCAAGAAAATTAGTCAGCCAGGAAAAAAACCCTGTCCCTTGCCCTTAGTACACCAAGTTCCCTTATTTCAGGATTTATGTATCATATGCTATGAACAGTTAGTAGTATAAACTTCCAGGAAGTCAGGAGTGATGGATGTTCCTTTAGTCATGCCTTTGTTGGAATATGGCTTGCAACTGTGAAACAGCCCAGTGATTCAGTTCTAACATTTGTCTTCCCCTATCCAACACTAAGGGAAGGCAACTGTAAGAGGTTTATTTGATTCCTTTCCTTTGTGGGCACAGGACCTACAACCCCTGTCTCCAATTCTGTGAGCAACACCTCCTCTTGCTAAAGGACAAGGCAGGAGGTGGAGAGCACCATAGGTAACAGGATGAAGCCCAACTGGTTTTACTGAACATCAGAAACAAAAGCTCAGAAAGGGTTCTGGATCTGAAAGAGAACAGAGATATTGTCTCTGTGTTTCACTCTAAATATTGTGTGGTCTAGATCACCTGAATACAGATCAGTACCTGGTTGTTGTCACTGCAGCTCCTGAGCTGCAGGTGCACTACGAGCTTTCAGACTAACAAGCTTCATTTTTCAGTTCAGTGCCAGGAGATTTTTGAAAACATCATTACTTTCTACGTGTTCTAGGGAAGATTTTGAAACATAAATTGTTTTAGAAAAGCTCAATATGCATAATGACAAGTGTGATGTTGCCAAGATTCCCTCTATGAGAGTCTATCAAAAGTTTTCAAAGAACAGAAATCTGAACCCTGCAGCCTTTAGGCTGAATCCTGGGAAGTCTGCTCCAGGATTCAAAGTTTACTGGATGTTAAATTCTTCCTTTTTCCTCTGCCTTTTCAGTTGCTGACAAGGCTGCCTACCTGATGGGCCTGAACTCAGCTGACATGCTCAAGGCCCTCTGCTACCCCCGAGTCAAGGTGGGGAATGAATACGTGACCAAGGGCCAAACAGCTCAGCAGGTAAGAAACGTTGTAGCCTCTAACCATGTTTAGAATTAATATCCTGTTGATTCTCCTCTGCCCTGTATGGTAACGCCAGGCACTTATTTTTTCCTGTAGGTGCACAATTCAGTGGGTGCCCTGGCAAAGGCTGTCTATGAGAAGATGTTCCTGTGGATGGTTGTTCGCATCAACCAACAGCTGGACACGAAGCAGCCCAGGCAGTACTTTATTGGTGTGCTGGACATTGCTGGCTTCGAGATCTTTGATGTAAGTAAGATTTGGTAAGAGCTACTTGGAAGTGACAGCTGAATGTTATGATCAATTTGAGACACATTTTTAAAGAAGACATAATATTATCACATCATTAGTGTTATTTTTCTTTTTTGTCATGAATTAAAAAATTACTTTTCAAAAGACTTGTCTTATTTCAAGATGTGAAAACTCAAAAGTACAGAATGGTTTAATCAGAAAAATTCCTTGGTTATATAGTCAAGGACAAGATAGTATAAAAATATGTACATCACGATAGTCCTAAGCTTGTGTTTCTTCTTCCTGTAACTTGGTATATATTATATCTTCACAACTTTATTAATGAAAAAAATTCCTTGTGGACAATTAATTTGATGCCTTTCTCTTTTTCATTATGTAGCTGCAAAGCAGACTGAAGAAATGCACAGGATGGACAATGAAGCCAAGATAACTCCATTCCTTAGTTTTAAAGGATGAGGTTTTGCAATTATTGCTGCATCTTTCAATATGTATCCTTCTTATTTTATTTCCAGTTCAACAGCTTTGAGCAGTTGTGCATCAACTTCACCAATGAGAAACTGCAACAGTTCTTCAACCACCACATGTTCGTGCTGGAGCAGGAGGAGTACAAGAAGGAGGGAATTGAATGGACATTCATTGACTTTGGGATGGACCTGGCTGCCTGCATTGAGCTCATTGAAAAGGTATCCTACCTGTTCAAATGAGTTACATGCAGAAAAACTCTGTAATCACTTGGTCTTATTGTTCAAAGGGATCTTCTATGTTCCTGCCCAAGTATTCTGCTTTTCTTATTCAAAATACCTTGCCCCGTAGTTTACTTTTTCTGTTAAGTGAGAAATGAAGGAGATTGTGGCAGATGTGTGGCAGACTTGTGGCAGCAAGTCTGTACTGATCTCTTTTCAAGCACAAAAAGTTTGTTTAACTCTCAATAAGAGTGTTCTTCCAAACCAGCTAGAGCCAATTTCCGGTCAGTGTGTCCTCCTCACCTTTCAGCTCTGACAAGGTGCTTGTACAGCAGAACAGCTGCATCTTTGCAAAATGGACGCAGAGGATGGACACACATAAATAACTGTCAGTACACAGTCACACTTGCAGGTGCCTCCCTCAACTGACAGTGTGAAGGCAGTTGTACTGCATATGAGATGGCAAGTTCAGTGGCTGGCAGATGATGAGCAGTTGGAATCATAGAATCAGCTCTGGGCATCACTTAATCTAACCTGCTTGTTCAAGGCAGGGTCAGCTAGAGCGGTTTACTCAGGACCACATCCAGTTGGATTTTTAATATCTCCAAGGGTGCAGATGCCACAGATACTTCAGGGGACTTTTTCTAACTCTGGACCATCTTCACAGTAAAGAAGCTTTTTTCTTCTCATTAAATGGAATTTACTTAATCATGCCTCTTTCTTCTTGTCATATCACAGGACATCACTGAGCTCTCTCTTCTCTCCCTCCCATTTGGTATTTATATAGATTGATAAGATCTCCCAGAGCCTTCTCATTTCCATGCAGGACAGTCCTGTCAGCTTATTTTTGCATGTCAGACATTCCGATCATTTAAATATATCTGTGGCCTGTCACTGGGCTCACTCTACTACATCCATGGGGGTAGCCAAGAGCTAGAACAGCACTCCAGATGTTTCTCATCAGAGCTGATTAGAGAGGAAGGATGGACTCCCATGAGCAACAGAATGCAGCTGAGGATGAGTTGGCTGCCTTTGCTGCAATGGTGTACTTTTGGCTCATGTTCAATGTGTTTAACACATCTGTTTTTGCTCTCAGTCCCACTGCATAAGAAGGTAGTGCTCTAATTTTATAAAGCACATTCTCCACACAAACTAAATTAATTTCTCTTATTCTTTATAGTTAATTTTGTATTAAAAATATAGGTATCAATGTACTCAATCCCACTTTCTAGAAGAAAATGTAATTAAATATTAATATTTTCTGATGTGTATCTCAATCTGTGTTCCATTACTATGTCTACATGAATGTCATTATTGCCCTGAAAGCTAAATTACAATCTGTCTCCCTTGTGATTTCTTCCAGCCCATGGGCATCTTCTCCATCCTGGAAGAGGAGTGCATGTTCCCCAAGGCAACTGACACCTCTTTCAAGAACAAGCTCTATGACCAGCACCTGGGCAAGTCCAGCAACTTCCAGAAGCCCAAACCTGCCAAAGGCAAGGTTGAGGCCCACTTCTCCCTGGTGCACTACGCTGGCACAGTGGACTACAACATCACTGGGTGGCTGGAGAAGAACAAGGACCCCCTGAATGAAACTGTCATTGGGCTGTACCAGAAATCATCTGTGAAGACCCTGGCCTTACTCTTTGCCAACTATGGTGGAGCAGAAGCAGGTTGGCTATATGAATCCCATATTTTCACTGATGTACAGCTTACAAAAAGGAATAATAAAAGGCAAAAGCAAAAATCTAAAATCTGTTTTATTTATTTTTAATTTAGCTGAGGCCAGTGGTGCAGGCAAGAAAGGTGCCAAGAAGAAGGGTTCTTCTTTCCAGACTGTCTCAGCTCTTTTCCGGGTACAGTAGAGACTTTGCTATTTCTTCCTAAGATAAGGAGTAAACCCACCAATCACTATGGCTTGTCTTTTTTTGGCTTAGTTCTTTTAAAAGGTCCTGAAGTTCTTGGGCCACATTTTACTAGGAATAAATCCAGTGTAGTCTACTCATACTCCATTCCACTGAATGTACAGCTTTTCTCTTTGCCCACTTGTCCGAGGATGATGCTTCTAGATGGAAGAATGTCAAAGAAAAAATGTCTAAAATATACTTAAAATAGACCAGATTTCCTCCAGATGCACACCTCTGGCTTCAGAAGCTGTTATTGCCCTTTTACAACATTCTGGCTACTGTTGACCTGTTTGCTCCATTTATATGTCTAGTTTTTCTCTCTGACTCAAGGATCAATTTCTTATACTTGAAATACCATCATTCCTTGGGTTATGGATTTTTAAGATGTCAATACTTCACAGTCCTTTGTCATAACCAAGTCTTGCTTCCTGACTGCTCCATACAACTCTTCCAGGTGAAATGCCTCCCGTCTCCCGAGGTATTACCTTTTTCATCCTTCATGTATGCCTCCCTTCTTGATATAGCTTAATTTCTTCTACAGATCTGCTGTCATATGATTCTTCATTACCTGAGAGCCTCTAGCCAGTGCTCTGAAACAGGACATGGGCATGTGTCTATATGCCCCAAGAAAAATAATCACAGAATTGTAGAATATGCTGAACTGGAGAGGACCCATCAGGATCATCCAGTCCTGGCCCTGCCCAGGACACTCGAACTATTCCACCTTGTCCCTGAGAGCATTGTCCAAACACTCCTTGAGCCCTGGCAGTCTTGGGGCCATGATCACTGCCCTGGGGAGGCTGTTCAATGCCCAACCACCCTCTGGGGCAATTATCATAGCTGTACTGCCTGTATCATTTGAAAATAATGCAAAAAGTCTATGTCTAAAGGTCATAAGACTTTAGGAGGTAATGTTGTAAGAGAAATATTGTTTGGTGCATTTGGGTTGCATTTCTGTTATGTTTTTAAATTTTCTTCCACTATCCCTCTTGTTTAGACATGTTAGTGTTTATGCATCCTAATGTTTTCTCTGTTTTATTTGCATGCTTTGCGATGTCCTCTAGAACATCTGCTTCCCTCCCCTAATTATAGACAATAATTTTTTATAAATAACTATACAAATATCAATTACAAAACAAGGCTGGGGTTCATCTCACTTTACAATACAAGAAAAATGTGTATTCTCGACATATAAAACTGGTTTTGTTCCTTTTGCTTTTAGTAGGGAAAACATGAAGGTTTTATGTAGTGTGTTCCATATGACCCAGCTTTGACGCCTCCTGCAGAATGCTTCCCATTCATTGCCTCATAGGGGTACTACTTTATCTCTCTGGGTACATCCTGTGGATATAATTTCTGATAAAGGTATTCCACTAGAGTTAGTGAAATGTATTACAATTCTGTGTTTAAGAGTACAATATTTTCTACAGATTACTCGGAAGAACTTTATACATTAAGTTAAAAACAGCAAAGATCTGTGGAAAGTCAGAAAACCTGATGCAGAGGGCTTCAGTTCAGGGTTCTGCTCATTTGTGTACATCTCATTTCAGAGGGCTTGATGCTTACAGAAGGAATTACGTTTGCTAATATCAACTTTTCTTAATGACTCTCCCAGGAGAATTTAAACAAGCTGATGACCAACCTGAGGAGCACCCACCCCCATTTTGTGCGCTGCATCATCCCAAATGAAACGAAAACACCTGGTAAGAGATTTACATATGCATCGAACGTTCTCAGTATGGTGCAGCTCTTGCTCTCTGTGTTACAGAACATGGTGTGTATTTGTGCTCTGCCTTGCTCAGGTGCCATGGAGCACGAGCTGGTGCTGCACCAGCTGCGCTGTAACGGCGTGTTGGAAGGGATCAGGATTTGCAGGAAAGGATTTCCCAACAGAGTCCTGTATGCAGATTTTAAACAGAGGTCAGACTTCATCCCCTTACTGGATCACTTCACTCATCTTGAGTAGCTTGTGAAATTTAATTTTTCCCTCCTGTGCCTAAAGCCTTCCCTATAGTTTCGGTTTAATAAGTGCTGTTACATTCTCAACTGTTTTTAGAATCTTTCTTTCCATGTAGCAGCCAGTTGGTCTCAACAACAGACCTCTTCATATTCATAGAATTATAGAATCATTTAGGTTGGAAAAGACCCTTAAGATCATTGAGTCCAAAGCAAATCCTTCCATTTTCTTCCTCAGATACAAAGTACTAAATGCCAGTGCTATCCCAGAGGGACAGTTCATTGACAGCAAGAAGGCTTGTGAGAAACTTCTTGGATCAATTGATATAGACCATACTCAATACAAATTTGGTCACACTAAGGTACAAAATCTGCTTGCTTCAAGTACCGTGGGTTTTTGGTTTGCACGGCTTGAGACTGACACTCAGTTACTCCAGATAGTATGTGAAATGATCCAATAGTGTATGTAAAATAAATCAATCAAGTAGTTTTTTACTCAACATTTGAATAAACTGAAATTCATTGCCATAGGATGATTTAATTAAGGGTTAATTAAGTGTTCCTAATTTAAGACAAAGTTGTAGAATGAGAGAATCAAGGGTTAATAAAAATAAAAGCAAAATGTCTGGCTATTATAGTTCCTCAACTGCAGGTAACCAGAAGCTTGGAGTGACAAAAGAGTCGGGCACTACATATATTCTTTGTGGTTTTGCTTTTTCTCTTAACTTCCCATAGTGCCTGTCATGGGGGGAAGAGCACCAGGTTACCCTGAACAAGCACATACACTGCACCTATTTTCATGTTCTTACCTAAGGTGTTCTTCAAAGCTGGGCTCGTAGGCCTCTTGGAGGAGATGAGGGATGAGAAGCTGGCACAGCTCATCACCCGCACACAGGCCAGATGCAGAGGTTACCTGATGAGGGTGGAGTACCAGAGAATGGTGGAGAGAAGGTAGGTTTTTCTTCAAATCAGGTTCACCCTACTTGGCTTATTGTGTCATCATGGTATAAATATTGAATATTAATTTGACTTACCTTTCAGAGAGTCCATCTTCTGCATCCAGTACAACATTCGTGCATTCATGAATGTCAAACACTGGCCCTGGATGAAGCTGTTCTTCAAGATCAAGCCCTTGCTGAAGAGTGCAGAGTCTGAGAAGGAGATGGCCAACATGAAACAAGAGTTTGAGAAAACCAAGGAAGAGCTTGCAAAGTCTGAGGCAAAGCGGAAGGAGCTGGAGGAGAAAATGGTGAAACTTATGCAGGAGAAAAATGACCTGCAGCTCCAAGTGCAGGCTGTGAGTATCACCAGTGTGCTTTATCCCAACTCTGCTGTGACTATCAAGTTGATATTTACAATTACACTTTCAAAAGACACATAGAAACTACAATTTAGCTCAGTTCAATTTTGATTCTTTAAGTGGTGCTCTTACAAGTGTAACTAGCTTTAATAAGGACTGTCAGCATATTACCTGGGTGAGGCTTTCTATGGTGTATGCTGAGCTCTCGTAGCATTTCTCAGATTCACAGACTAATCACAGCTGGAAGAGACCTTCAAGATCATCTGCTCCAACCATCAACCCAGCACCACCATAATCCCTCCTAAACCATATTCCCAAGTGCCACATCCAGACTCCCGTTGAACACTTCCAGAGATGGTGACTCTACCACCTCCCTGGGCAGCTTATTCCAATGCCTGACCACTGTTTCGGAGAAACTTTTTTTCCAATATCAAATCTGAACCTCCTCTGGCACAACTTAAGGCTGTTTTCTCTCGTTATTTCACTTGAGACATGGCAGAAGAGACCAACGCTCACCTCACTACACCCTCCTTTCAGGCAGTTGTAGAGAGCAGTGAAGTTCCCCCTGAGCCTCCTCTTCTCCAGACTAAACAAACCCAGCTCACTCAGCCACTCCTCCCAGGACTTGTTTTTTTGACCCTCTGCTACCTTCACTGCCCTTCTGCTTATATCAGAACAATCAAGAAACTTTTTTTTGTAAAATGTTTGTTTTGCTAGTACTTTTTTCCTATGTCTCCAAAACTGAGTGTGCCTCTCCTTACACACTCATAATTAAGAATTCTCGGGGCAAATTAAGAGGCCACTACTTTCCTCTCTTTATTCTCCAGTAGAACAAGATAACTTGTTTCTTTCTGGTTTAGGTGGTGGCTTGAATAGTCTGGATAGTAACAGACTTTACTATGGTATAATACTGAACTAAGAGGAAAGAGAATTTAATATTCTCACTCACCCTCCTACATCACTAAGAATCATTACACAAAATCACGTGCTACATCTGTGGTGTTACAATGCTGTGCTTTCTAAATTAAATCAGTCACAGAATAGAAAAGACTGACTCCTCCAAGTGATACTATGCAGCACATGTGACATATAGAAAAAGCCACATGCCCCCCTTTTTAAAGAGTCTTGAGCTGTAAAAAGATGAAAGAATCCACGCACTGCTAACATTATTATTTTTCTTTCATACTATTTCTGCTGGACTGAAACCTGAGACAAAATATAACAAATACCACGGGACATATGTTGCAGAAAAGAAGCCTGGAGGCAAATTTTCCAGCAGGTCGTTTTCTTCTTAGCTGATGACAGTAGCACAGAGAAGAGACAAGGCTGACAGATATTGAGTATTTTGGGGCCAATGGTGTTGAAAATAGGAATCAAAAACAGTTACTCCAGAAAGAGAGTAAGGTGAAAAAAGATATATACAGGAATGGTGTCAAGATAATTGTGTCTTCAGTATTTATATGCATCTTGGCATATGATTATCACTCAGAACTTCACAAACATGGGATATATTCCTATGATTAAACCTGAATTTATGCATTTTGTTCCAATGTTTGATAGTGAGATAATTTTGGATTCTTTACCCTGCACAAATATATAAATACTCAGGTCTTGAGGTAAATCGAAAAGGATTTTACTTGGTTTAAGATTTAAAACCAGTCTGTTTCAAAACTAACAATATAAAATCAATTTTATATTATATGTCATTTTATTGGAACATGTATCAAATTTTCAACTACAAAACTGCTATCCAGGACTCTGAATTATGCAGGTAATAATCTCAATATTCCCTCAAAAAGCGTATCCCTAACATTTTCCCACCAGGAAGCTGATGCTTTGGCTGATGCTGAGGAAAGGTGTGACCAGCTCATCAAAACCAAAATCCAGCTGGAAGCCAAAGTTAAAGAAGTGACTGAAAGGGCTGAGGATGAGGAGGAAATCAATGCTGAGCTGACAGCCAAGAAAAGAAAGCTGGAGGATGAATGTTCAGAGCTGAAGAAAGATATTGATGACCTTGAGCTAACACTGGCCAAGGTGGAGAAGGAAAAACACGCCACTGAAAACAAGGTATGAGGCAGAAAATCTCACCCACACTCCAGAAAAGAGCCCCGTGCTCTTCCAGGACTTCTGGATCTACTTCCTTGATTTACACTTGCTCCCTTCTTCCTAAAGGTGAAAAACCTCACAGAGGAGATGGCAGCCCTGGACGAGACCATTGTCAAGCTGACAAAAGAGAAGAAAGCCCTCCAAGAGGCCCATCAGCAGACCTTGGATGACCTGCAGGCAGAGGAGGACAAAGTCAATACACTGACCAAAGCCAAGACCAAGCTGGAGCAGCAAGTGGACGATGTAAGCACACGGACACAGAGCAGGAACAGACAGGTATGGAGTTTGAGCTGGCTGGTGGAGCACTGATGGCCTTGTTCTGTGTAGCTGGAAGGGTCCCTGGAGCAAGAGAAGAAACTGCGCATGGACCTGGAGAGAGCCAAGAGGAAACTGGAAGGAGACCTGAAGCTGGCCCAGGACAGCATCATGGATCTGGAGAATGATAAGCAGCAGCTGGATGAGAAACTGAAGAAGTAAGTGTGGCCCTGGGGCACCTCCGTGCTGGGCTGCAGCTCTTGTCTTTTTCCTTTGAGCTGTAACCCACTTTGCTTTGCCCAAAGGAAAGACTTTGAAATCAGCCAGATCCAGAGCAAAATCGAGGATGAACAACTTCTGGGCATGCAACTACAGAAGAAGATCAAGGAGCTGCAGGCAAGTATCTGCTCCTCCCCCTGCCTGCCCCAGGCTCGGCTCAGGGAGGAGGAGGGCACGGGTGTGAAGGGTCCCTCGTGTTCTCCAGGCCCGTATTGAGGAACTGGAGGAGGAAATCGAGGCCGAGCGAACCTCTCGCGCTAAAGCAGAGAAGCATCGGGCTGACCTGTCCAGGGAGCTGGAGGAGATCAGCGAGCGCCTGGAAGAAGCAGGAGGGGCGACGGCAGCTCAGGTGGAGATGAACAAGAAGCGGGAGGCAGAATTCCAGAAGATGCGCCGGGACCTCGAAGAGGCCACGCTGCAGCACGAAGCCACGGCTGCCGCCCTGCGCAAGAAGCACGCGGACAGCACAGCTGAGCTGGGGGAGCAGATCGACAACCTGCAGCGCGTCAAGCAGAAGCTGGAGAAGGAGAAGAGTGAGCTCAAGATGGAGATTGATGACTTGGCCAGTAACATGGAGTCTGTCTCCAAAGCCAAGGTACACAAGTATTTTTTTTAGGAATTTGGGAGCAATGCGATGATTTTGTTTTAATTTTATATTTTTTAACTAGTATCAGGTTATAAGTGATATTTCCAAATCTAATGTGCAGAACTATGGGTGTATGCACATAGTCCCCAGACATGTAAACTGCACCTTCTGGACACATTTTCCTCCTGTAAAGAAGGAAAGATCAAGATATTTACTCTATTTTCCTCTCTATATATATATGTATATATATATTATATATATATATTTGCTTACATATTTTCTTATATATATTTTCTTATATATATTTTCTTGTGACTGATACATAGGCAAACCTGGAGAAGATGTGCCGCACCCTGGAAGACCAGCTGAGTGAATATAAAACAAAGGAGGAGCAGAATCAGCGCATGATCAGCGATCTTAGTGCTCAAAGAGCTCGTCTGCAGACAGAATCTGGTACAGCACTTCCACCTCTAATTTGGAAATGGGAGAACTCCATAAATTACTTTATTGGATATTAAAATGTTTTCTCAACTACAAACTTTTCCAGGCGAATATGGACGCCAGGTGGAGGAAAAAGATGCTTTAATTTCTCAGCTGACTAGAGGGAAACAGGCTTTCACCCAGCAGATTGAAGAACTGAAGCGGCAACTAGAAGAAGAGATAAAGGTGAAGATATATAGGTTACAGATAAAATCTTTGACATAACATTGATTTTGATGAAATGTCCAAGATTTCAAAAGGTGATCCAATTAAAAGTTCAAACCATCTCCCCAGGTCATGCAATCCAGGCCCTATCAGCACAGGACTCTCAACTTTTTATCTTGCAGCCACTTAATTGCTATTTCTGTGGATATCATATATCAGTGTCAAGAGAAAATTTACGGGATATATCTACTCATTATTGCAATATTTTTTCCACAGGCCAAGAACGCCCTGGCCCACGCCCTGCAGTCCGCTCGCCACGACTGTGACTTGCTCCGGGAACAATATGAGGAGGAGCAGGAAGCCAAGGGGGAGCTGCAGCGCGCCCTGTCCAAGGCCAACAGCGAAGTGGCCCAGTGGAGAACCAAATACGAGACGGACGCGATTCAGCGCACGGAGGAGCTCGAGGAGGCCAAGTACGTGAGCAGGGTGGGGAAGGCTGGCAGGGAATAAGAATGGAAATTTGAAGAAACCACTGAAATATTGAAAGGCAAAAGCCTAGTAGTAGATTGGGGAGATATATGAAACAGAAATATTTACTATAAAGGATGCAGTTTTGAAAAACACAGTGAAAATAGGTTACATGACAAAGAATGCAGGAGAAAGGACATCTGTGTACAGAGGGAGAGCAAAACTGGAAAGAAGCTGTCACTGCCCCATCCCTGGGAGTGTTCAAGGTCAGGTTGGAGCCTTGAGCAACCTGGTCTAGTGGAAGGTATCCCCTCTGCTAGCATGGAACTACTTGATTTTTAATGTCCCTTCCAAAACAAACCATTCTGTGTTCTGTGATTCTATGAAGACCTTGGGAAAATAAAAAAAACTACTGGCAGGGTTGGCTCTGCACTATGTGCATAGTACTGTGGTATGAAAATCAACATCCATTTTCATCTCCAGTTAAGAGATGTGCTCATCTCCTCCCAGGA